TGCCTGATCACCTGGGCCACCCTCACTACTGTTGCCAAGTCCATCGATGCTGCCACTTGGCCAATCCATCAAGAATCCTTAAAGTAGCTAGGGAAAAAAGAAAGTTTACATACAAAGGAAAGCCAATAAGAGTAATCTCTGATTTCTCAGCAGATACCATGTAGGCAGGAATACAGTGGGGATACATATACAAAATTCTGAAAGAAAAAACTGCCAACTGAGGATCATATACCCAGCAAAGTTGCCAATCAAATATGGTAGCGAAATCAAAATATTTCAGGATAAACAGAAATTAAGGGATTTTGTGAAGGCCAAACCAGCACTCTAAAATATACTAATAGTAGTTCTTTGGACTGAGAATCAATAAGACTAGACAACAACCAAAGATTCACATATGTGGCAACACCACCTGGGACTCAATCCAGAGAAGGAAGAGTTCATGACAGAATAAAACTACAAGATTGAAATTAGAGGATCTGGGAAGTCAGTCTGTGAACAGGACAACTACAAAGTGAAAGAAGGGAAAAGTTCAGTAACAGAGATCCAGGTGATGAAGAGGTCAGGTAGATTTTGAAATAAAACAGACTGTAATAGAAAGAAAGAACCTAGTAAAATGTAGGGTAACCTCAAAGAAGCTTAATATATCTGCACATCAAATCAAGAAGTGTCCAAAAAGATTGTAGAAACATTAACACTTAGGTTGACGAGAAAAAGCACACAGAAAAATGAACTCACCACAGGAAAGCATGTGGAACAAAGAACGCGGCAGCATCACAAAAAAAACAGTATAATGTCAGCAATTAATCCATACCTATAGATAGTTACACTAAAAGTCAATGGATTGATTGTGCCAGTCAAGAGGCAGAGAGTAGCAGAATGGATACAAAAGCAGGATTCTTCAGTGTACTGTCTTCAAGAGACACACCGAACACACAGAGAAAAATAGATTAAAGGTTGGAAAAATATATACCAAGCTAATTGCAATAAAAAACATGCAGGGGTGGCAGTATTAATATCAGATAAACTAAACTTTAAATCAAAAACCAACATAAGAGACAAAGAAGGTCATTATTTCATGGTTAAAACGTCAATTAAACAAGAGAACATAACCATAATGAATACCTATACCCCCATTGAAAGAGCCACACAATATATAAAGTAAACCCTAATAGGATTGAAATAAGAATTGGGCACTTCTACAATAATTGTGGGAAATTTTAATACACCATTTGTGAAAAAAGGACAGAACAACTAGAAAAAAGCTCAGCTTCTTTTCACAGAGGAACTGAACAACAGAATCAGCTAACTTGACCTTGTAGATTTTGTAAAGAGCATTCAACCCAACAACGCAATACACATTCTTTTCTAATGCACACAGAACATTCTCCAGGATAGACCATGTGTTAGGCCACAAATCAAATCTCCACAAATTTAAATTCATCAAATACTACAAAGAATCTCCTCAGACCACAATGCTACAAAATTAGCAATCAATAATAGGAAGGTCAAGGAAACAAAATCATATACATGGAAGCAACAACACTGCTTAAAAGATACTGGGTAGTAGAACAAAATAAATAGTGAAATTTAAAAATTCCTAGAAACAAATGAAACATTTGTTTATGCTGTGTCCCAAAGCATTTGGGACACAGCATAAGCAGTGCTGAGAGGACAATTTATTGCAAGAAATGCACACATACAAAAAGAAAAAAGAATCAAAATCCACATACTAACACATCTCCTACAAATAGAAAAAGAATAGCAAAGTAAAGCTACAGCCACCAGAAGAAAATAAATATAAAGATTAAAGCAGAAATAAGTGAGATAGAAAACAGAAAAGCAGTAGACAATAAGATCTATGAAAAGATTAATAAAATTGACAAACCATTGGCAAATCTAACAAAAGAAAAGAGGAATAAGACACAAATAACATGCATAAGAAACCACATTGGTAATGTCACAGCAGAACCAATGGAAATAAAATAATAACAGAGTACTATGAAGAACTGTACACCAACAAATTTGAAAATCTAGAGGAACTTGATGCATTTATAGAAAAAAAAACTTGACTTACCTAAACTTACAGAGAGTGAAGTAGAAAACTTGAACAGACCTATAACAAAGGAAGAAATAGATCAGGTTATCAAAAAACTACAAAAAGCCCAGGCCCAGATCTTCAGTTTTTATGATGTGTTGTTGCTATTAGCTGCTGAGTAGGCCCCTGGCTCATGATGACACAAAGTGCAATGGGATTGGACCATTGTGATCCATGGGGTCTTCACTAGCTGAGTTTTCAGAAGCAGATCACTAGGCCTTTCTTCCTAGTCCGTCTCAGTCTGGAAGATCTGCTGAAACCTGTTCAGCACCATAACAATAGGCAAGCATCCACTGTACTTGAGATGCACTTACTGGAAATCAAACCTGGGTCTCCTACTGAAGGTTAGAATTCTACCACTGCACCACCAATGAATAATGCATTCTACTTTTTAAATGTGTTGTTAGTTCTTTTCCCTCTCTTCACTCTCACCAGTGCTTACTCATCTATATCCTTTCAAATTCCATACCATGAAATACTACCGTCTCCCTTCAGTTTTCTCATATCTATCAACCTAAATTTGTTCATGTATTTTTCTTTGCGCTATAATGAAGCCTAGACTGTTCCCTGTTCTCTTTAGGTGCACTGAGTATTCAACCTAGAAATTCCGTATTCATAGAACAGTTCGACTTCACTTCTCTGCTACTATTGAGAGGACCAAAGAGTATTGAGTTACAGCCAGTAAACTATGAATAGTTGATTAGGCATGAGTCGCTGTATAAATCACAGTTTCACTCATTAAACAAATATTAAGCAACTACCATGTGTAACCAAGTGCAGCCAGAGTGCTCCTTGGAGGCCAAGATGGCCAAACTTCATCTCTCATATTTCAGACATATTGTCTGTCAGGAGGGACAAGTCACTGGAGAAGGATACCATGTTTGGTAAGGTGGAGGGTTAGAGAAAAAGAGGAAGACTCCCAACGAGATGCATTGGCCAAGTGGCAGCATTGATGGACTGAAGTGTGGCAACAGTAGTGAGGTTGGCCCAGGATCGGACAGTGTTATGTTCTGCTGTGCATAAGGTCACTATGAGTCAGTACCAACTGGAGGCACCTAACAACAACAAATGTGTAACCAATATTCTAGACAGACAACAGTAGTTAACAATATTAACTGATATTGGACCATATTCAACATGCTATTTTACTGTATAGCTACCATACAGTCAAAGGAGCTCTTGTAGCATAGTGGTTACTAATGGGGCTGTGAACCTTAAAGTCAGCAGTTCAAAACTACCAGCTGTTCCGCGGGAGAAAGATAAGGCTTTCTGCTCCCGTAGAGATTTACAGCCTCGGAAACCCTGTACAGGGTCGCTATGAGTCAGAACCAACGCCACAACACATAACAACAACAACCATACAGTCAGCCCAATCTATAGAGTTTAACAAACCAAATAAGTTTGAATCCATAGAACCACACTGTCCAAAACCGTAACCACTAGCTTCAAGGAGCTATTTAATTGTAACTTTAATAAAATTTCCGTGAAATTTTAAATCCAATTTCTCCATTGCACTAGTTACAATGTGCTGATTAGACACATATGGTTTGTGTTCAACAAAACACAGAAAGTTCTCTTGGACACTGTTGCAATAAAGATATTGGAACAATAAAGATATTTGAACCTATCCAAAATGAAAAAGGTATCTTAGGACAATTTGGTCTCTTGAATTAAGAGATGGCTTAGGCCCAAAATGCAAGAAAGGTAGTAGCAACTAGATTGTTTATCTGATCCAAACTAATCTTAACAAATACACATGCAAGAAAAATCGCAGATCACAGAAGTACATGGAATACAATGGATTATGAGGTACCTACTCGTATATACCTGCCCTGTCAGTGTCAACTTTAAGTGCACTTTGAGTTTTGGACACCTTTCTAAATAGTCGTTTGCCAAATTCTACTCTTCTTTAAAAACAAGTTTTAAACTCACCTAATCATATGTTTTTAAAAATACAATACTATATATAGCCCACTTGTAATCTGTGCTCACGTGTTACTCATTTTTTATATACTAAACATTTATACTGTGTCACTAGAGATTGTCCAATATGGATTGTAGATTCTCAGAAAACAAGAGACAAGCCTTTTCTGAGTTCTTGTCCCCCTACTCTCTAGCCTCTCATTTCAGAATACTGTAATATTTAAAAAAGAAAGAAAAGAAAAAGTTACTGTCAAGTTAATTCCAACTCATAGACAACCTATAGGACACAGTAGAACTGCCCCCCATAGGGTTTTCAAGGCTGTAATCTTTACAGGAGGAGCTTTGATGGTACAGTGGTTAAACACTCAACTACTAACCAAGAGGTTGGCAATTGGAACCCACCAGCTGCTCCACAGGAGAAAGGTTTGGCAGCCTGCTTCTCCGAAGATTCGTTGTTGTCATCCTAATGTGCAGTGGAGTCATAGCGACCCTATACAGGGTTTCCCGGCTGTAAATCTTTACGGGAGCAGAAAGCTCATCTTTCTCCCACGGAACAGCTGGTAGTTTCGAACTGCTGACCTTAAAGTTCGCAGTCCAGTTCATAACGACTACACTACCAGAGATTACAGCCTTGAAAACCCTATAGAGTAGTTCTACTGTATCCGAGAGAGTCACAGTGAGGCAGAATTCACTCTAGCAGTGGGTTTGGTTTTTTAGTTTAATCTTTACAGAAGCAGACTCTCTAGAAGAGTGGCTGGTGAGTTCAAATCACTGACCTTTTGGTTAGTAGACAGGCATTTGATTACTGCACTGCTAGGGCTCCTTACTATAATATTAGTACCACATATTCTGTAAATGTGGTACTAATTACACTGTAAATATTTCGTAAATGTTGATTGATGTTCTAGACTCATTTATCCTAATTACTGTCATTTTTTTGTTGTAGAATCTCATCTATATTTTCCTTCTCTTTACTTAACAGACAGTATGGAGCATTCATTATTAAGACAATTGGGCAGCTCTAGTCCAGCTCAACTGATTTCTTGTCCAGTGATCCTTGTGTGGCCGAGATCCAGCTTCATCGAACCGGCTAGAAGCTGCCTGTTGTGAAATTTAGGGTTAGTTTATACTTCACTATATTTAACTTATTCCAACTACAAGATGTCTAAATTTAATGAAATTGTCCTTTCAGTGGTTCTAAAAAATTAATTCAGTTGTGTGGCATGATGATTTTTCATCTGTATTAATCTAACTATAGTGACATTTTCTATAACATGTTTTATCCATTCCATTAATAATAATCAAATTGGGAATAATAGTAAGGTGTTTTTCGTTGTCTCTGCTTTGTGTTATTTCTTTCCTTCACAGAAATTTACGTCTAATGCTTCATACAATATTTATTTTTATATTTAGGATAAGAATTTCTAATTCTAGTAGAAATTTTAATATGCTCATGCCTTTTTAGCATATAGTTATTTAATCTTAATAACTTTGTTCTATTTTGAAATTATATTATTTAACATGCTTGTGTCTAATTTTTTTTTCTAATTTGTTACTGCTTCTCCTTATTAATTTTGTTCCTACTGTTATTTTCAGAATGCAAACATTATTAGTACTTTTTTATAACATTTTCCAAAGTTTAGAAGTACCATCAACATTCTTACCTTCTCGTATGTTATATTTAATGTGACTATGTTTTTTTCTAATGTTTAAGGTAATACTGCAATCTTTCTATAGCATAATCTAGTTAGTACCAAATTTTCTATATTTTTTGGTTTTGATTAAAAAAAGACTTACTTCTGACATGATCCTATAGTCATAACTGATTCTGCAGTGTACTGTTGGTCTTTGCTTTAGGCTTTGACCTTTTCTTCTTGTGTTGCCAATATACTCAATTATATATTATTACTTTAAAAAAAAAAAAAGTTTTTTAAAGCAAACTGTTTCTTACACTTTAAATTCTGATTTTAAAGCCAGTTTTTTAACATTGGGAAATTCATTGTTCAAAAACTAAAATAAATCATATGGTCTTTAATCACTAAAGTTTCTATAGTAATATAAAAAAGAATCCTTTGCCTACATATACTGTTATTTCACTGACTTCCTTTTAGGAGACGGGATAAGCCATAAAAACTGGTTATATCCTAAAAAATTTCTGTCTTCCTTCCCTGTTCCATCCCCAAGTGTATTTCATGCTCACCAATAACAGTAGAAATAATAATACTTAGGCCCTAAAGTTAACTTTGATGAGTAAAATAGGGTGTTTTCTTTAAAAACTATAATGTGTATGTTTCCCAGTCAAATGATTTCATGAGAACAATAGGATCCTATGAATGTATACTAGCATACAAGGAATATATGTAAATATTCTCAGTTTTAAAAATGTAAATAAAGTCCCACCAAGAAATTTCAAAAAACTTTTGTTCTGTAAGTAAAAATTATTAAGTACTGATGTTAAAGATCTTCCTCTAATAACAAAAAGTTAATGTTTTTATTTTTAAAATGTTAAATTCAATGGTAAACAAGTCCTGGACTGTTAATAAAACTTAATTATGTATTATTGAAAAAATCAGGAATTTTTATAATTGATGCCCAAGTGTGTTTCTTCCATTGAACCGTATCAATTATATACGCATATATGTATACCCACTACCACTCCAACTCCTAGGAACCCTATAGGACAGAGTAAAACTGCTCTCTAGAGTTTCCAAGACTGTAAATGTTTATGGGAGTAGGCAGCTCCATCTGTCTCCTGCAGAGCATCTGGTGGGTTCAAACCACCAAGCTTGCAGTTAGCATCCAATGCTTAATCCATTGTGTCACCAGGGTTCCTGATATATATACATACATATAAGGAATTCATACATATACACTTAGAATTTAGCTTTACTTTGAGATATGAATCAAACTTTGGAATTTATTGACAACTTGAATATGTGAGGGTAAGTCAAAAGTATTCTTACTAGGGTTCCAGTTCACACATGCACAGGTTTATTCCAAACAAATTGTGTTTAAACATGTCTCTGTGGATGGTTGCAGACAGGTTCTCTCAGTAGTACACTTGTCTTAATCTTGTTAGGGTGCTTTCAAAAAATAGATCCAATCAAAACATGGCTTCCAAGGGAATCTGTTGAGCCAGTAAAATTAAAAGCAGAGAGGTCAGTTTAAAAAGCTATGGCAACTGCAATTTTGGGTTCCAAATGAATAATCTTCATAGATTTTCTAGAAGGACACAGTACTGTCATGGGAGCTTATTAGGAAGAAGTTTTAAGAAAATTGAAAACTTCATTGCTGATAAAAAGGCCAGGAAAGTTGCACCAAAGAATTCTGTTCCATCATGAAAATGCACCTGTTCGTTCTTTGAGGGTAACAAGGTCTATCCTAAGAAAATTTCGTTGGGAAACCTTACTCTATCCATCCCACAACCTTGATCTTGCACCTTCAGATCTCTTTTTGTTTCCAAAACTCACAGAACATTTAAAGGGACACAATTTGAGCCCCTTTCTGCCATTTTAACATTGTATAACTCAAAGAACATAGAATTCTTTGGGAGAAGGTTAAAGAGATGAAAACACCACTTTCAGAAATGTATAGACTAGATGGAGGATATGTCCAGAAACATTAGCCTCACATTTTGACATTATTGTTTAGTAAAGGCTTATACAATTTTGTAACAATAGTTTTTAACTTATCCTCATATAGGAGGATATCATCCAACCATTTTCATGTCTTAGCTTTGCAGCCCAAAACCTTTTATGTTAAAAAACAAGGTGGTTTGGGGAGAGGAAATTCTCCTTACACATTCTAAGTGAAACCTATCTGGTGCTCTTTTCTCCTTTGTAGTGTGTCTTCCATAGATAAATTTTGAAAAGTACATTATTTGAAATTCAGTATAAGAGTTTAAAACATGTATAATACAAATATTTGTTGTTGTTGTTGTTAAGTGCTGTCAAGTTGATTCTGACCCATAACGACCCTGTATAGGGTTTCCAGGGAGCAAATGGTGAGCTTGAATCACCTACCTTGCCGTTCAATGGCTTTGCGGTCTGGTGCATTAACCCACAGCGCCACACCAGGACTCCAGAATTATAATGGACATGGCTATATAATATGATGACATTTTCTGTAGAATTTATATATATATATATATATTTCCATGTCATATAATTCTTCTACAGTTTTCTGTATACACTTGATCAGTGGTTATCTTCATGTTACCCATCTTTCTGACTTGTCAGGATCAGTAAATAGAAAATAGCAGCCATAGATTGCAAATCAGTGAACTAGCATTCAGGATTTTCATCTTGATAATTTTTCATAGGCATGCTGTCTTTAAAAGTATCAATTAACATAATGTCAAGCCTGATAATAGTGAAGTGAAGGCACATAAATCATTAAGACTTTTTTTGAGGCTAGTCAGTGATATATTGACATGAATCTTTTTTAAAGACATATAATTTAAAAGTTTTCCATTCATTGATTTTTGTTTTCTTCACTTGATAATGTGTTTCTTAGGTTAGTAGAAGCCAGTAAGTACATCATTATTTACTAATACTTTTGTTGTTGTTGTTAAGTGCCTTCGAGTCGGTTCCGACCCATAGCGACCCTGTACAGGGTTTCCGAGGACGCTTAGACGCATAATTTTTATAATGAAGTTGTTACACTAACCTCAGTTTTTTATATACTAACCTCAGATTTTTATTTTATCAAGGTTTTTATTGTATCTACAGGGTAACTGTCACTTAATATTTCTCTCAAGGTGCTATGAGGCATAAATGTCAGTGTTTGTACTTCATTTCTATTCCATCAGGAAAACATGTATGAGACGTACACTTTCTACTAAAATCCTTTTTTTCCTCCCTGCTACAAGAGTCTTCTTTTCACTCCAGCCCATTCGTTTGTAGTATTTTGTTCCTCATCAGAGAAAAGTTGATGGACCCTAGCTCTTCAGGCTTTGGGGGATGTACCTAAGTAATTCAGGTATACCCTTAGGCCTGAAGAAAAAAATGTGTTAAGTCCTTTGAATTAGACTTCCCTTTTTTCTTCTCCAGTTCTCTTTTATGTGAAGTTGTTGTTGTTAAGTGCCATCAAGTTGGTTCCAACCCATTGCGACCCTGTTTAGGGTTTCTGAGGAGCAGCTAGTGAACTTGAACCGCCGACCTGTTGAGCTGGTTCCAATCCATAGCAACCCTGTATAGGGTTTTTGAGGAGCGGCTGGTAAACTTGAACCACCAACCTTGAAGTTCAAACTGACACTGCAGTCCAGCACATTAACCCTCAGTGCCACCCCAGGACTCCCCTTTATGTGATAAAGAAGATAAAACATATCTTTGAGAGTTTTCTTTCCTGAGGAAAATAAAGCTTTTGAAGAGAAAGTAGTGTTTTGTGTTCTTTTTTTTTTAAAGTCTGCCTAGAAACATAAAGACTTCAAAGTAAAATAACTCAAAAGTCTCAGCATTTGTTTTCCTCCCATTAACTACCAGTGAAAACTGTAATATTATCTCTAAACTCTTGTCTTTGATAGGCCTTAAAAAGTACAAAAAGCAAGTTTTCCTTTTAAAAAATTCCAAACTAGAAATCAAACATAGTCTTCCTACCCTTTTCCTTAACTCTGTCTTCTCATTCAATCTGGAAAGAATTCCATGTCAACCCACAGGAATATTTCCTTTCCAACTTGTTTTCCAAGTACCATATCCTTGTTGTTTGAATCAATGATAAAAGCTGAGTGTGCTGTCCCTCTCTAGCAACTTGAATTCTGAGGGTCATCTGTTTTCTGTTTTGGATAGAATTTCTCCAAATGTTTAGAGACATTGTTGTTGTTTTTGTTGTTGTGGAGTCGGTTCCGACTCATAGCAACCCTGTACAGGGTTTCCGAGGCTGTAAATCTTTACAGGAGCAGAAAGCCTCATCTTTATCCCACGGAACAGCTGGTAGTTTCGAACTGCTGACCTTGCAGTCTGCAGCCCAATTCGTAACCACTACGCTACCAGAGCTCCTTTAGAGACTTTAGAGAATACTTATTAACCCAAAAGGCTTAATCCAGTTTTGATAGACTTTCAACAGTATAAGGAGGACTTTTAAAAGTTCCCAGAAAAAATGGATTAAAAGATAATGGGCTTTTGAAAACCCCCCTTATATGTCTTACTCTTTATTTCAAAAAGGCTGCAGTGTTTCCTCAAAAAATTATCTCAGGTAATTTCCCCATATAATGGAACTTGTGGTACCTATAATAATGATTGTATTTTCACTGTATCTCATGAAGCATTTGAAAAAAAAATGTTTCCAAGTTCATCCTTCAGTAGTTCCTAGTGTTT